GTATGAGCCAACCTTTAAATTAATTTGAATCAAATGTTCTGAGAGAGTCTTAGGCTCTTTGGGTGGAGGAGGGGAAAGGGGAAAGGAAAGGAGGAAAGAAGTAAATGAAGCAAAGGAGTACGAATACTGCTAGGGAAAGGCAAGACATTAATTTTGTTCCTACTTGCACCACACACAAATTAAGAACTGGCTTTCCCCCATGTCTTGTTGAGCACTGAGTTGCAGAAGAAGAGGCAACAGCCCATTTCTCACAGAGACTGTGACTATACATGGCATCTTATAGACACAAATCATTTACACTGATAAAACACTCTAGCAGCAGACCATAATTCTCCTGTTTTGAGAGACAAGAAAACAGGATTTCAAAGAGGGTATATAACTTGACAAAAGTCAGAGGGTGAATTCAAACTCAGATCTGAATGTAGAGTCTGATCTTCCCACTCCCAGGACTGGAAAATCCTTAACACACAGCTCCCCTGCAGTGTTCCTGGCACCAAGAATTTCCCATGGTGATGGTCTCCAGTTCTCAGACACAGCGCTTTGTGCAGCCAATGACCTCCATCGGACCTTGATCATCTACCTGCCACACCCACAAGGCCTCACCATAAAGGCAGGAAAGCTGGCTTTCAAGTGCATACAAAGCCATTCCTGGTCTAACCTGGGCTGTTCTGTGGCTTCTCCAGCCTAAAGGCAGCCATGAAACTGCTCACAGTTTGCACATGAGCCACACTACCTCTTTCCATCTGTCTCCCCACCTACACTACTTAGCTATGACCATTTTGATAATCTTGGAAACAAATTTTTAAAGACAGAAAAGAAAGGATTCTGGAACAAGTAATTAATACAATTTTAAATGACAAGTTGCAAAGTGAGTATTTACAAACCGAATCTCCCTTCCTAGGTGTCAGTTTAAACAGTTAAAAAATATAATAGCAAAAAATTCTCACTTACAAAATTAACAAAAACATCAACAATAATCTGGAATAAACTCAAAATTAATGTCCATTTTCTACATAGAGAAAACTACAGGACTGTACTGAGGGGTAAAGTAAGAGGTGTGAATGTAGACACATCAACATATTGCGTGGAGGAAAGCAGTTTTGTAAAGATGTACATTCTCCTAAAGATAATTCAAAACTTACTAAAAAAATCCCATAACAACTCTTTTCTGTTTTTTCTTTAACTTGAAAAAAGTATTTTAGAATTCTTGAGGAATAATAAAGTCGTAATAGTAGCCAAGAAAATTTGGGATGGAAGAAAAGAATCAAAAAAAATTCACTGTCAGATATTAAATAAATTTTTACAATATATAAGATATAGTGCTGGAGTAAGAAAGATTGACAGAAATAAATCATGAGCTCAAAAAGAGACTCTAGTGTACATAAGTATTTTTTACAGGTGGGATTTCAAAACAAAGAGCAAAGTATGAATTCAATCATTGTCCTGGAACAGAGAATCACCTGGAAAGAACAAATTCTATTCCTTTCATAATGACCACAAGAAAAATTACAGATAACGATGTAAATATTAGAAAGTACTAATAACAGCAAATAATCTTTGCTCATATTAATTCAACTTCTCCTCACGATAACAAGTACTATTATCATCTCCATCTTAGAGATTAAAAAAACCAACAGAAAAGATTTGTACCATTATAAGAAAGTATTTCTAAGAATAATACCAAAGATAAAACCCAAAAGGAAGACATTTACTATCTTAATAATATTTTGGGCCACAACAAAGATAAACCTACTTAACAAAATGAAAGGCAAGTAATGACAAGAAAAAGCTCTGTGATACATGTTGATGAAGACAAGGGGTTAATGTTCATAACATACAAAGCTATCACAAAGCAACCAGAAGCTCCCTCAATTAAATGTGTGCAAAGAACAAAAGGGATCATTCACTATTTAAAAGTCAGATGGCTAATGAGAGAAAAATTCTCAATACCTTACTGGTCATCAAATGCAAACTAAAACAATGAAAAAACACTTTTGCTCATCATATTGGCAAATATTTTTAAAAGGTATACTAGCTAGTGTCCATCTGTGGGAGAACAAACCATGAGCGACTTTTTCAGAGGATGACATTTTAATGGATATGTAAACTCTAAGAAACGTGCATACACACAAACTGAACTCCACTTCCAGGAATCATTTCATTTAGAAAAAAAATCAGTTCCAAAAGATGTATTCAACAGGGCATTTACACAGCACTGTTTACAATGGTGGGAAGAAAAGCTGAAGTGAAATCATATCCAGCGATAGAGAATTGGTTACATAAGTTATTTTACATCTTTTAATTCCCCACTGGAGAAAGAATTTCTAATGTCACTAGAAAGGAGCCTGTGATGAATGTAAATGTCACATCCAGGGACTAAATTTCCAGAAGCCTTAACTAAAGTAATACTACATACAAGAACACAGGAATGTCTGTAC